TATACACTCTCTCTTATATTAAAAGAGTGATGTGAGATAGTGTGTAATTATAATGGAAAATTTGGTGTGAAGTCTATTTTTAGGGGTGTATGATATTAGATTTAATGATTGTTTTGTTTTAGTTGTAAGAACATGATTAATGAAATTGTAGGAGAACAAATTATGTAGAAGAATTTTTTTATTCATTTGACCTATTCTCACCGGACTATCAGTCACCGAACAAGTCACTAGCACTAAAAAGGTTGTTAGAGTTAGAGGCACACCCGGTCATGTTAGCCGGTGGTGGTTAGCTGGCTGATGGTAGTGATATGGATAGATTAATAGATTAGGTTGACAGATAGATGATGTGGACAAATCGATAAATAATTAAGAGTAATATGATTTTTTAAATTATTATTGCCGATAACATGGATCTATTATGTACTCACTGCATATGATTACATATTTGATTGGGTTAATGGGTTATCTAAAGGTTGAGTTGTGTTGAGAGATGTCTAAACTCAAGGCTAACTCCAACAGATAGAATTTGGGTGCAAATTGCCCACAATTTTCTTATTTCTTTTAAAGTTGGATTGTTTAATTTTTTTAATTTTTTTTTTATATTTTTATAAAGGGAACCTATATTTTTTGTTTGACAAAATCACAAACATCATCAAAACAAATAACAAATAATAATAATAATAATAACATAACAATGTGTGAGAGATGATACTTAAGTTAATTTACCTGTCAAAAAAACTTTAGCATAATCTAACCCTCATTATAAACTATATATTTTAAAGACTTTATTGGCAAGAATGCCATATTTATGGGAGAAATGATATTAGATTCAAGAATTAATATTTTTTCATAATAAAGACATGTCAGAAAAGTTATTGAAAAGCTGGTTGAAAAAGTGGTTAGTTGTGATTGGCGGCAACAGTGGGTAGCGGTGGCTAGTGCTACTATCAGAGCCGGTTCTGGAGCAAGCCAGCAAAACTATGACCTTTGATCCCAGATTTGAGCTAAAAATTAGGGCTCAATTTAAGAAAAATTCTTATAATATTTTAGATCTCAATTAAATGAAGGCTTCCAAATTTTTAACATCAAAACTCACCTAACTCCAATCCTCAACACCAAACTAAAAAATAAATTATTTTTATAAGCGGAGGATTCCAATTACTTTGATTTCAACTTACCAAAACCTAACTAAATTTAGCACTTCATATTAAACCCCCAAAACAACACAATTTTATTAATGAAGGGTCCAAATCACTGTACCAAATTTCTCTCTAACTTAATTCATCATTATGAGATTGAACTTTTTTAAATCTTAATATTCTCTCTAGATGCCTTTAGATTTTGTATCATTTTAAGTTTTAATTCAATTGTTTGTTGGCTTTACTTAAAAACTAAAATCTCTATAATTGAATTAATTGATGTTTGCTGAATAATGAAATGCATTGTTTATTTAATCATACTTCCAAGAAAGTGTAAAAGAATTACTTGAATTACAATTACGAGCTCTTGATTCAATTTTGTAGCTAAAAATATAAGAACAATAATGCTTAAGTGATATAATTCATTTATTTATTCTTTGATATTAGTTACAGATTTTCTTATAGTATTTTTTTTTTCTTGTGTAACTGGTTAGATATAAACAATAATACTAAATTTTATCTGTTAAGATTTTTGTAATAATTTTTAAGTTGATTTTTATTTTTTTTTTTTTTTTTTTTTTGGAGTGGCATAAAGAAATGTAAGGGCCCATGTTGAGTGTTTGCCTTAGGCCCCTGAATGTTCAGAGCTAGCTCTGGCTACTATGGTGGACAAATATGTGATATTAGATAGACAGATGAACATACATGTGACACGTATACAAATAGGTGGAGGTGGCAAATGGACTGGTATGGATGGATAAAAAAGGATTATACATTTAAAACAATCTAATCCAAATTTGCCCATTAAATAAATGTGCTTAAATGGGTTACGTTGAATTGAATACAGGTTGGACAAATAAACTCAACTAATCCATTTACCTCATCTTTTCTTTTCTTTTTTTTAATTTTTAATTTTTTTTAAAAAATTATTTTTTATTTTTTCCTAAAAATTATTTTTTAGTTTGTTATTTTTTCTAAACAATTATTTAAAATTTTTAGAATTGATGATAGAAGTGTTGTCCATTTAGATGGGCTCAAATGAGTATTCATGTCCAACCTATATAAACCCAATTTTAATTGGATTGACAACGAACAAGCCATTTAAACGCTTTTATTGATTTGAGCAGATTAATATGAGTTTTAAATGGATATAATTAAATGACTTTATGGGTTTGAGTTGGGTTTGATACCTCTTCAAATAGGTAACATTTGGGTGGATGGAAAAATATGTATCATTTGGAACAAATAGATGTCCTTTTTTAACTACAAAAGATTATTGATCCAAAATTTTTAAAAAATAAACATGTCACCTAAGTGCCCAATTTAAAATATATATTATCAAAAATGTTTTGGAGTCACTAGAATTTGCCATTTTTCTTACCAAAAACCGGCGGTTCGATTGGAAAATAATAACGAATTTGCCTTTGCGGTGCGGCTCGGTGCGGTTTTGGCGGTTTCGGCGGTTTCGGCGGTATTATGCACACCCCTAGATAGAAGTGTTGTCCATTTAGATGGGGTCAAATGAGTATTCATGTCCAACCTATATAAACCCAATTTTAATTGGATTGACAATGAACAAGCCATTTAAACTCTTTTATTGATTTGAGCAGATTAATATGAGTTTTAAATGGATATAATTAAATGAGTTTATGGGTGTGAGTTGGGTTTGATACCTCTTCAAATAGGTAACATTTGGATGGATGGAAAAATATGTATCATTTGGAACAAATAGATGTCCTTTTTTAACTACAAAAGATTATTGATCCAAAATTTTTAAAAAATAAACATGTCACCTAAGTGCCCAATTTAAAATATATATTATCAAAAATGTTTTGGAGCTCTAATTTGTGAGCTCTAATAGCTCTAATGTGTGTATAGGGTCCATCTGATATGATGTTTTGGCTTTGTTTTTTCTTTTTCTTTTTTTTTTGTTCTACCTCACTAGAGCTCTAGTTTTAGAGGGATGTATCATTATTGATATAGTTTATACTTGTTACAAGACGCCGTGCTTCGCACGATAGCCTATACCTATGGTTTAAATAATCACAAATTGCTTGATTTGAAATTTACATCCATCCAAAAATATCCGTAATCTTCTATTACTAATTACAATGTTACCATGTTGCGTGCTACTTGTAGCTCGCTGCTTTCCACATTCAGCAACAGTTGTGAGCATTATAGATGGAAATATGTCATATTTGCAAATATTGGACCAGATCACTACTACAACTTTAGGATCCTTACAAAACAAATAGAACAGAAGTATATATGAAAAATAAAATAAAATAAAATAAAAATCTATGGTGCATATTTTGCAAAATTTCAAGGATGTTATGAAATTTGATTTTCTCTAATTGTAATTGACTTTCCTAGATAATACCTTTTAAGAATGCGATCGCAGTAGCCATATGATTCTTTTACATATGATTATTTTAAAATTGTTTCTTGCTTGTAAGAAAATAAAAATAATTACATATGATTCTTTGCTTGTAAGAAAGTAATTACATATGATTCTTTCTTGCTTTTAAAATTGCAGCTTTGCACTAAAGACTCCAATAATTACATATGATTCTTTTAAAATTGATTCTTGCTTGTAAGAAAATAAAAATACACACACTTGCCAAAGAAAGATGAGAAGGTCAGGCCTAGAAGTTGAACTAAAATCTCTATCCAATCTATTTTAACTGAACTTGTGCAGACTTTAAACCAAGGTGATTCTTCATTGCTAGTTAAGGGTTTAGAAAGGAACATGTGCAGAAACGCAGAGTGTATGTGCGGGCTGTGTCTTCCTAGATCTGAATCAAAACGTTGATAAACCAAACCATTAGAAGTTCAGAACCAAAATTAATAAATCTAAAAATGAAAATAGAAGAAAATACTTAAAAACCTAAAACATAATAAAGGTTTGAACATGAGAAATGGTGTGGTTCTCACCAGACTTTCCCAAAAGTTTATGTAATTGCCATAGTTTTAATCTCACCTTAACCAATTTGAAAACATTATTGTCAAGTATAATAATGACAGCTAGTGTGTCCATCAACAAATAACATATAATTAATAGTGAAAATTACCACCGAAGAGTTCATCTAGAGCCAGGCTTCTAATTGTGATGCAAACCATCAATTTTCTCTGTATACCAAACAAGAGCAATCAATAAGGTTACTTAACTGTAAAATCTACAAACTCAATCCAACAACTCGTGAAAGTTACTAACATGCACCATTGTTTCAATCCTCAAAATTGATTGTATAAATTCTACAAATTTGGTGACGTCCAAACAATGTCTTTTCATTTTTTTTTTCCCTCATTACATAATAATGAAATCTGAATATGCAAGAAGACATAAAGAACATGGACCAACCCCTCATTTGTTCAGTAATATTTCCACAACTTTTTAACTTAATGTTGTCCCTCATGTATAGTGTACTTCTATCTTCACTATTCCAAAATTCCAACACAAGACCCTTTTACATACTATAGCTTACAAAATAGATGAATTCTTCCACATGTATTCTATATTAAACAAGATATCACAGCAACTGAGATCATCTTAAGCTCCTTACATCCATAGACTTCCTAGTTGGAGCAAACATTCTGGCAAGCAATGTGTATGTAAACATGCGCTAAATCGTTCGAATCTTATACTGAAATCATATAATTCATTTAACAGGTATAAAATAAAATTAAAATTAAAAAGAAGGCAGCAACACTTTTTAAGGCGTGTAAGCTACATGGTGAACAAACTACTTCACTCTTCCAATAATAAAAATAGAAATCACTCGAACATTAAAAAGAATATGATAATTTCATTGCAAGATTCAAAGAAGAAAAAGAAAAACAATGGAAGTTTGGTATACTTACTTTTCTTCCTAAAACTCTCTGTTGATGAATCACTTGCTTAGAAGAGTATCTTCTGCCAGGAGGAAAATAGTCATTGACGAATTCACCCAGTGGTTTTAGAAGGATTCATGCAACCAATTTCTTGACCAATTGCAGGACAACCCAACCAACCTATAATATGAAGAGTAAAAAATTAAGATAAAATAACAAAAAGATATGGCATGAAAAATGATATTTAATCGAATGAGATTAACTTTTAATCCAACAATTGAAGATACAAAATATGAAATTTCAATGTTTTGGTGCAGTTAACTATTCACTACTACAAAAATAGTTAAAGATCACGCTTTGACAAAAAAAAATATCTCACTTTTATTGGAAGTGTGATAAAAAAAATTAAATTGATATTTTAATCACATTTAATTTGATTGAGTGTGATAATATTCATTTTTTATGTCACTTTTCAATTAAGTGTGATTATATAAATATTTTTTTAATCACACATTCTAATTAAATGATATTTAATCGAATGAGATTAACTTTTAATCTAACAATTGAAGATACAAAATATGAAATTTCAATGTTTTGGTGCAGTTAACTATTCGAATTAAAAAAGAAAAGAAGAATATACTTTTTTTCAAGTGAATGGACGGGGTACTGTTGTGATTATGAAGTGAATGGACGAAGAAATGCCAAAGTCGGTCAAGAATAAAATTTAATACTAAACAAAGTGTTAGCAAGTATTTTAATATTATAATGATCTTCCGAGCTCCAAGATAAGTCTTTGCCTAGTCCACCATGCTTATCCATCCAAAGCCATACAAGATAAGGCCTTGCAAAACTTATCCCTTAAGTCTTCCTAGTCTTGGTCTTTGTCTCCTCTTGCTTATCCATTCCAAGACTTGGAAGTTAAGCAATCCAAAGTCTTCTCCAAGTCTATCCTATCTTATCCACCTTGTCTTCCTAGATAAGCTTTCTTGGTCTTGGTCTAGTTTTTTGTTAACTTCTCCACTAAGTTTTCATTTCCATATATATGTATATTGAACTTTGTCATATCAAAAAAAAAGAGACACGAGGTGAAGAAGTTTTGGTTGTTTGGTTATGTCTTGAGTGAGATTATCAGGCAAATAAAAAGAGTGTATGTGATAAAGCTTTGGGTTTAACCAATAGTGCAGTATTGGTGAACCATACGACTTAGTCGGGCTGTTGTATCCTGGGGGAGACAAGTCAAGGTTTTTTTGCTGCACCGGTGTGAGGCTTTGCCTAACCGCAGAGGGCTTGAATCTCCTTAAAGAGAGCGAGTTTCCCGCGCCTCAGCCCTGATAATAAGTTATTGTAATTTTATTATTTGTATTTTCTGGTGTGTTATTTGTAATTATCACCAACAATTTTAAGGAGATTCAAATAGCAAAAATTCATGGAGCCAATACTGGAGAAGCCCAACGAGAATACCGGCGATCTTAACAAGCCCTTCCGGTTCAAGGGAGCTCATTTCAAGAGATGGAAAGGCAAGGTGCTTTTCTACCTCAGTCTCCTCAAGATGGCTTATATCCTGACCGAGAAAAATCCGAACAAAGTCCCTACTGAAGAGATGACCGACGATGAGTATGCTGTTCATCTTAAAAACATCGAGAAATACAACACAGATGAGTATAAATGTCGATACTATCTTTTGAATTGTCTTTCAGATCAATTTTATGATTATTATGATACTACTTACACCACTGCCAAGAAAATTTAGAAAGCCTTGCAGAATAAATATGACACTGAAGAGGCATGCGCTAAAAAATATGCTGCAAGTCGTTTTTTCCGCTATCAGATGATAGATGGAAAATCAGTGGTGGAGCAAGTTCAAGATTTTCAGAAGTTAGTAGCTGAAGTTAGATCTGAAGGCATCAAAATTGGAGACAATCTTGTTGTAGCAGGTATTGTTGACAAACTTCCATCATCTTGGAGGGAGTTCCAGAAGTCGATGCGTCACAAGCAAAAAGAGACGTCCTTGGAGACTCTAATCACACGGATTCGGGTGGGGGAGGAAGCACGAGGACAAGATGCGCTTATGACACAAGAGCATTCCACTGCAAAGGTAAATTTAACTTCTGAAAATACTTTACCTAAAGGTCGATTTCATAAAAATAGTCACTTGAAGCCAGTTAAGAAAATTTGGAAAAATACTAGAAGGCCACAAAATAAAAATTACCTGAGGCAAAAGAAATGAAACCAAGAACCCCCTTCACAATATCTGACAAATGTGACATGTTTTGTGTGTGGAAAAAGTGGGCATATTGCTCGAACTTGCAAATTTCGGAAACAACAGTCTCGACCACAGGCTAATGTTACCAAGGAACCATTTGTGGCTATGATCACAGATATTTTTATGGTTCAATCTGTAGAAGGGTGGTGGGCAGACTCTGGTGCCAATAGGCATGTCTGCTATGATAAAGATTGGTTCAAAGATTTCACTCCTTTTAATGAGGAGAGGACCGTTATGCTTGGTGACTCTAGTTTAACCAAGGTGCTTGGGTGTGAGGATGTTGAGCTGAATTTTACCTCTGGACGTGTGCTTGTTTTAAAAGATGTGTTGTACACACCGTCCATGAGAAAAAAATTGATGTCAAGTTATTTGCTCAACAAAGCTGGTTTCAAACAGACTATTGAATCTGACCAATATGTAATCACTAAAAAAGGCATATTTGTGGGAAAAGGGCATGCCTGTGATGAAATGTTTAAATTAAATGTTAAGAATAAGAAAGCACATGTTTCTGTTTACATGTTGTCTTCTATGAATTTTTGGCATGCTCGTCTATGTCATATTAATAGCTGATATGTGGGAGTCATGAGTAGTTTAGGATTAATTCCCAGACTAACAAATAAATTTGAGAAATGTGAAGTTTGCAGTCAAGCAAAAATAACTAAAAAGCCTCATAAAAGTGTGATGAGAAATATTGAATTGTTAGAATTAATTCACACTGATTTATGTGAATTTGAAGGAATTTTAACACGTGGGGGAAATAGATATTTTATCACTTTTATTGATGATTTTTCAAAATACACTTATGTATACTTGTTGAAAAATAAAAGTGATGCTTTTGAAAAATTTAAAGAATTCCTTCTTGAAGTTGAAAATCAATTCGGTAAAAAGATTAAAAGATATAGAAGTGATAGAGGCCGGGAGTATGAATCTTTTGGATTCAACTCGTTTGCTCAGTCTTTGGGAATAATCCATGAAACTACTCCACCATATTCACCTGCATCTAATGGTGTAGCAGAAAGGAAAAATAGAACTTTAACTAATTTAACAAATGCTATGCTAATTGAAGCAGGTGCTCCCTCAAATTTGTGGGGAGAATCAATTTTAACTGCATGTTATGTTATGAATAGAGTGCCACATAAAAATACAAAAGTTACACCTTTTGAGTTGTGGAAAGGGCATAAGCCAAATTTGAGATATTTGAGGGTTTGGGGTTGTCTAGCTTTTGTTAGACTTGTGGACCCTAAAAGACCTAAATTAGGTGTGAAAGCTGCCACTTGTACTTTTCTTGGATATGCAACAAATAGTACAGCCTATAGCTTTTTTGATATTGAAAACAAAATAATTTTTGAATCAGGTGATGCAATTTTTCATGAAGAAAAATTTCCTTTTAAATCTAAAAATGGTGAGGGTCAAAATTATCAAGAAAATATTTTATCTGAAACCGACTCCTCTACTCCTCTTTTACAAAATCAAGATATTGTAGTTTTTGAACCAAGAAGGAGTAAAAGAGCCAGATTAGTAAAAGATTTTGGCCCTGATTATCATGTTTTTAATGTGGAGGAAACTTCATTAACTTTACAAGAAGCTTTGGCATCTCCTGACTTTGTTTTTTGGAACGAGGCTGTAAACGATGAGATAGAATCATTATTATCCAATAAAACTTGGGTATTAGTAGATTTACCACCAGGTTGTAAAACTATTGGCTGTAAATGGGTTTTGAGAAAAAAACTTAAACCGGATGGAACTATTGATAAATATAAAGCAAGGCTTGTTGCAAAAGGTTTTAAACAACAAGCAGATCTTGACTTTTTTGATATACTTTCTCCGGTTACAAGAGTTACATCCATTAGATTATTAATTGCAGTGGCTGCAATTCATGATCTAAAAATTCATCAAATGGATGTTAAAACAGCCTTTTTAAATGGAGACCTGGGTGAAGAAATCTATATGGATCAACCTGAGGGTTTTGTGGAACCCGGTCAAGAAAGCAAAATGTGCAAGTTAGTTAAATCCTTCTATGGCTTAAAACAGGCCCCTAAACAGTGGCATGAGAAATTTGATTCCTGCATGATTGAGAATGGCTATAAAACGAATGAATGTGATAAATGCATTTACTATAAATCTGAAGAGAATTCACATGTCATTATTAGCCTCTATGTGGATGATTTACTTATATTTGGCTCTAATTTGCATATCATCGTGGAAACTAAAAATATGTTTAGTAGCCATTTTGATATGAAAGATCTTGGTGAGACTAATTATATTTTGGGAATGAAAATTACCAAAACTTGTGATGGTATATTTCTTGATCAGTCGCATTATGTTGAGAAAATTTTGAGAAAATATAATTTTTATAACTGCAAGCATGTTCTTACTCCTTTTGATCCTCATGTGCGTTTATTTCCTGTTGAAAATGATGAGGATGTAATTAATCAAAAGGAATATGCTAGTATGATTGGTAGCTTGCGCTATGCGACTGACTGTACTAGACCTGACATTGCCTATGCAGTTGGAGTACTTAGCAGGTTTACTAGCAAGCCTGGCAGTGATCACTGGCTAGCCATTGAGCGTATTATGGAATATTTATCTGGTACCATAAAATATGGCTTGTTTTATAATAAGTATCCTGCAGTACTTGAATGTTACAGTGATGCCGATTGGAATACATTGTCAGGTGATTCATTATCAACCACTGGTTACTTATTTACATTGGGCGGTGGTACTATAAGTTGGAAATCGAAAAAAAAACCATTATTGCTAATTCAACAATGGAGGCTGAGCTTATTGCTCTAGCTACAACTAGTAAAGAAGCAAATTGGTTAAGAGATTTGTTAAATGAAATCTCTTGTTGGGAAAAACCGATTCCACCTATATTGATTCATTATGATAGCACCGCAGCAATTGGTCGAGTTAATAACCGTTATTATAACGGTAAATCCAGACCTATCAGAAGAAAACACAGTACTGTGAGATCTTATATGAATAATGGCATTATAAATGTGGATTATATTAAATCTGGTGATAATCTTGCAGATCCATTAACTAAGGCCTTAGCAAGAGATAGAGTCTGGAATACATCGAGGGGGATGGGGTTGAAGCCCATTGAATATAGCAGGAGCCATGTATGAAGATACTCAACCCAGGGACCAGAGATCCTGTAACTGGGTTCAATGAGAAAAACGATCATATGATGGCCGTGAGAAATGCACTAAATTACTTTTTACCCATCCCTATGATGTAAGTGCATTTATCCTGTAACGTTGTAGAGGTTGAGTTATTAAAAAACTCTTAATGAATTTTTGTAGCTCTTATTGAGTGGGGTGTCATAGTTACAGGAGCACCCTTGACAGAATTCACCTATGTGAGTGTGGTAGTGGGGCCGCTACCTATGAGATTTGGGCTAATTCTCAAACACACTCATGAATCCTGGGATCGCATAAGGCCGTAATGTGCTAGCTTTTAAAGCTTTTGTGAACACCTGGAATAATATTTGTGTGCAATAATTATTTATT